GAGGAAGGAATGATAAACTACTAAATGCAAGTAAGGTAAAGTAGGGTGGGGCCAGAGAAGCAACCATTGAATTGAGCAAGATGAAATGGTTTGATGACTTTTAGAAGATGGGTTTTAGTGGCATCTTGGATAAAACAAATGCCTAATAAAAGAGGGGTGAGAAGAGAAGACAAAGTAGATACAGAAATTATAGACAATTCTTTCAATGAAAGGAATCAGAGAAATGATACAGTAGCTGGAAGGGGATACTGGGTCAGGAGAAGGTTTTCTGAAAGAACCTAAACCTCTTAACATGTCAACTTTACAGGCTAACTTCCTCCTAGTCAGTATATCACACTCTCTTATATTTCCAGTTGTGATGTCACAATGCCCACAGGAAAAACACTCTAATACCTCTAGTACATCTTTTGAGAAAGCAAATCCCCTAATTTACATTTTAAGCCACATATCACAACCTTCCCAACTAGTGGGGAAGGTTCTACTAGTTCTATTTAGGTCATTAAATATGAAATGTCTGGTTTCGAGTCAAAGTTTAGTTTATTGTATCTCAAACGAGAAGCAGTACAATTAATCAAAGCATGTGCCTAACTATCGACAGAGTTTTGTCATCTTAACAGTAGCTTGTTTATGCCAGCAGCAAAGAAGCCTGGAGACTTCCAGGTGGTGATGAAATTGCAAAAGGTGTTTTCTACAGCTTGTTGAGATTTGAATATTTTTTCTTGCAAGTAGTTCCAAAGCCTGGAAGAAGTGGTAGTCAGCTGGTGCAAAGTCTGGTGAATACAGTGAATGACAGTGAGTTTCCAAGTCCAGGCTCTGTAGTTTGAGCAGTGTTGTCTGTGTGACATGGGGTTGACCATTGTGTTGTAAGAGGATTGTCCTGTCTCTATTGACCAATCTCAGCTGCTTAATCACAAGCATCCTCATCATTTCATGCACTTGGTTGCAGTAGACATCCACTGTAATCAACTGACCAGGTTCATGAAGCTGTAGTGGATAATACCAGTGCTGGACCACCAAACAGACACTGTTAGCTTTTTTGATGAATATTTGGTTTTAGACTGTGTTTCAGCACTTCGTCTTTATCCAAGCATTGTGCTGAATGCTTGTAATTGTCAAAAAGAACCCATTTTTCATCACACATAACAATACGGTGTATAAATGGTGCACCTATATGTCGTGACAGCAAAGAAAGGCAAGCTTCGAGACAATTTCTCTTCTGATGCTCATTTAATTCATGTGGTACCTATCTATCCAGCTTCTCTACCTTGCTGATTTGCTTCAAATGGTACAATATTGTTGGATTAGTAATGTCAAACCTTGCTGCTAATTCACGAGTAGGTTGAGGTGGATTCGCTTCCACTATAGCTTTCAGCTTATCATTATCCACCTTGGTTTCAGGTCGCCCATGTGGCTCATTTTCAAGGTTAAAATAACCAGGACAGAACTTCTCAAAGCACTGATGTACTGTGCATTCATTTGCCACATCTTTCCCAAATACTTCATTGATACTTTGAGCTGTTTACGTTGCATTGGTTCCACAACGGAACTCATATTCAATAATAACTCGAATTTTTGACTTATCCATGGTTTCACAAAAATTGCTCTAAAAAAAATTTTGAAAGATAATCACAAATCAAACTGTGCATTTGAAAGAATGAGGATGTACCTTCACAATAAAAATAAAACAAGTATAAAAGTGAAATGTCAGCAATATCAATTGTCAAACTTAGTACTTAAGGAAATTGGACATTTCATACTTAATAACCTAATAATTATGTAAATATGTAGTTGTGAACTAAAATAAAATCTTAAGCCCCTCCCACTGAATGGACCCCCTCTTGGCTAAGGGGACCCCAGAAATATCCTAAAACTAAGTTGCTGGCCATGAGAAGGGAGGTCAGCCTCATCATACCCTCCCTTCCCTTCTTGTAGATATCCTTTGTAACTCATTAATAGGCCTAAGGCTATGCAAGACAAACCTCTAGGTCCTCAATTTACATAACAAATGTATGGCCAGTAGCTTGTCTCTGATTAACAAACTTCCTTAACTTAAAACATTCCAAGCCTTTAGACAAAGCTTCATTTCTTTAACCAATTACAAATCAAAAAGTCTTTAAACCCACCTATAACCTATAAGGCACCCCCACTTTGAGATGTCCCACCTTTTTCAAGCCAAACCAACGTACGCCTCCCATGCATGAATTGACTTACAACTTTACATGTAATTCCTGTCTCTCTGACATGTATAAAACCGAACTGTAACCCAACCACAGTGAGTCCACTTGTTCAAGGCTTCTTAGGTCCTCCAGTTTGGCTCAGAATAAACCTCTTTAAAATATTTTACACAGGTTGGCTTCTTTTGCATTGGCATACTGATAAGAAGGAACTTTCCCCATGATTACTTTATAGAAACTTCTAAAATCAACATTTCACTTTAATGTGAGTTTCCTTCTCAATATAAAGAACATTCTAAGGTGAATGGTATTAAATACTGTTCCATATGACTAGTAGTAAGGAGCTCCAATATGATCTTAGACATAAGCTAAGTTTTCTGTCAATGTTTATGAATTGGGGGGGGGAGAGAGAGAGAGAGAGAGAGAATGTGTGTGTGTGTGTGTGTGTGTGTGTGTGCGCGCGCGCGTGTGCGTGCGTGTGTACCTCAATACAAATAAACCACATTAACATCAATGTAATTAGCCTATGGGTACAATGCAAAGTATCCATAATGACTACGTCTAAGCACAGGAATATTAGTTTAAGCAAATCCAAAAACAAATCTGGAAAACACTGGTTGGAAACAGCTTCTATCCTTTCCTGTCATTTTCTAAGCAAGGCTCCTCCGACACTTAGGGCTACAGCTGGAAATGAACTGTTTCTCATGGTACCATGCTAATCAAGCTTACAGGCATTTTCTCACCATTTGGTTACAGAGAAAGAAGCTCTGAAAATCAGCAGCTTGTTCCTAATTTAAACTCTTTAACCCCCCACATCTCACATAAAGGAAATACGTTAAATACCTTCCTCCAAACAAAACAGTACCTTCAGAATTAGTTCTAGTCCAAGACAGTAATAGACCAGAAGTAGTTTGCTAGATTATAATGTAGTAACAGTTTCATTCAGATACTGTAAAGAAATACCAAGTATAAAGAAAAGAAAGCCAGTAGAGAGGGTACCAAGTTAATTAAGGAAAAGAAAAAAAATAGTAGAAGGAATTAATGTTTAATGTGGGAAGGGAGCTAGACAACATATAAGGTTTTTTTTTTCTCTGCTTGACATGCTGCAGAAGGATTCTTTCCAACTCTATGATTCTCTCGGAAAATATTATCCAAAGAAGGAAAACCAAAAAAATATAAAATACAAAAACAGAGGCCGGGCGTGGTGGCTCATGCCTGTAATCCTAGCACTCTGGGAGGCCGAGGCGGGCGAACCGTTTGGGCTCGGGAGTTCGAAACCAGCCTGAGCAAGAGCGAGACCCCGTCTCTACTAAAAATACAAAGAAATTAATTGGACAACTAAAAATATATAGAAAAAATTAGC